GCCATCGATGCCGACAGTCACATACGGCTTCTGCATACGAATAAGAAGCGTCGCTATGCCCGCAGCGCAAAGGTGAGCCGCACTGTAATTCGGAAATTCGATCGTATTGATAGCTGATGGAGTAGTGATACATTCAAATCTTCAAATTATCAAATTTACCGAGTACTAATAAGCGAACAAACGTATGCAACAGCTGTACAATCCGCGACACTCGGCTTCTCAATTCCAATTTCCTGAAGGATTTGCATTGTCTTTTGATAGGGATTTGTAGGATCATCCTGTTCACTGAAACAACAACGGCTGATCTTAACACATACTTTCAATAACCTTTCTGTGTACAATTCTTCGTGATTTTTTAGCGACTCATTAGTATACAATACTATGCGATTAATTTGCAATCATTGCTGACGAAGTTTTTTCAAAACAAATCTCATTGTGTTCCACAATGGATAAATAAGCAAATGGACAACAAATTCAGATATCTTTCTCTTTGAATCATGTATGCAGCTATTAGATCGGTGTTTGTCAAATAGTGCCGCCGATGAAACAATTAATAACCCTTCGATTTCGGAGACGTATTTGGTTGGGAAAACGTTCGCTTGCGAAATCGCTGTGGTATCGCCATCGAACACCAGTCTCTGCTTCGCGAGATGCTCAAGAACAAGCCGTACCAACTCACCCATATACATACCCGAGATCATCTTCTCGAACCTTAAATAAATCACTTTAAAGTGAACTAAACCATCTTCCACACTACTTTTCTTATAAATCATGATCAATCTTTAGTTGATGTTAATGACAAGACATCGGTAACTTAGCAGTGGTTCCCACGCTTGAGTGCTCCGTTACTCCCTTCAGTGGTTTGGCAGGCCGTTATAACCCGCTTCCCTACCCTCCCGCTACAATAATTTAATATTTCCACGCATAACGTCGGAAATAATTTCCAGATCCCCTGCATTATCCCTCTGATACTCCCAAATTACCCAGAAATGGGTAATTCCCCTCCCCCCCCTCTCAATATGAGGACCCTTGATTTAGGGTATCACTGAAAACTTGTTAGCATAATGAATACTTGTGATATAGTGATGGTCAAGATCACCAAATGTGTATCCAAACCTATAAGTATAGCATATAAGCAGACAATCAGATGGAATTGTACCTAGATGGAACTGTTAAATCGGATTCCAGTAAAGAACAGCTGATGTGTTTGGACGTACTGAGAATTGTGAAACTTACAGATGTAGACCAGGATTGACAGTAGCTTCGTCAACTGCTGCGTCGTAAGGTGTGCGAATGAAGTCTAAACCACCATCGTCACCAAACGCACCCCATTCCATATTGATTATCATCTTTAAAATTATCACTCACATCATCTCGAAATGATCACGGCAATTCAAAGAGCATAGCGAATGGATCCTATTGTTATTTGACTTGGAACGATAGAACTCAGCCCTTAATATGAATTAATCTTTGTTGCGAAGTAATTGCAAAAGCAAAGAAGATCGCACTATTGCTTGTGTTCATTTTTCAAAAGGTTTCGTGATCGTGAGATTTTTTGCTTTTTTCTGGTAATGATTTCTTGCATGTTCTATTCGCTTCAAACGCGGACTTGTTTCCGAGGCATTACGCGACAAGTTGCATTCATTGTTATCAGGAGAAATTTCGAGTGACATTCTTTGTCCAATTCATCGTTGAATTCAATCAAAAATTTCGGATATACCATCGCCAAACGTACCTCTTTTGGGAAATTGTCCTTTTCCAGATGGAGTTTTCTTAATTTTGGGCAATTACTCAATTTCTCCATGTAACACGCATTCGTGCCAGTACCGAGAATAACACCAATCTGACATGAATTCTCTTTGAAAGCACACGCCAAAAGTGTTCCGACCGTATCGTTAAGGATCGCAACCACATCGATGTCCATATCCTAAAATTATTCTCATATTTAGTTTCAAATCTGACTTAAAATGAATCGTGCGAGTTGAAGGATCACGTCGAGATCGGTCGACGTACTTCTCAACCACACAACGAGCAATAGTTTATCAAGTTCAATCACGCAAAAGCGGTCATTGGTTGAACGCTTGATACCAGATCAATGAATGAGGATGATTGATTTGGTGAACTTACACCACGTCTCGCACACGCTTCTTTGAGAAGCTTCACAACGTCTTGACCTTGAACTCCAGTTGCGTTGAAACCTTTCGACCAGTGAATAAGTTTGCCGACATCAAGACCTTCTTGATTGACCGGAAATGAAAAAGTGAATCCGAGTGGAAGCTTTTCGGCACCTTTCAGACCATTCTCCTCCATAAAATTGGCCAAACACGCGGCGATATGATCGAATAACTGCAAATTTTCATTGCCCGCTTATTTTAACGCATCTCTTCCGCAAATTATAAATTATGCAATTTCTCAATAATGCAACTGCTCAAAAATTACGCACTGAGCATAAGTCTAAGCGAACGTTTTGTGTTTTTAAATGTCAATGCTCTGAGTATAAAGATTGAAGAATATTGTATGAATTTTTTTCGAACTATCATTGTTCATTGTTCGATCTACCTGTGTGCTTTCGATCTACCTGTGTGCTCAGATTTGTTCAGTAAGGTTATAATCTGTTGATACCGTTGAATAGCAGAGATTCTCAGCTTTCAGAATGATATATATGTTTTTGAGCGATTTTGCCTAGTTCAAAAGTTATAGGTTAATTTTTAATACTATATCATTTAGCTATCGCCAAGCCCTATATCATGTGTGCTACATTCGATCTACCTGTCTGCTCATATTTGATCAGTAAGGTTATAATCTGTTGATACCGCTGAATAGCTGAGATTCTGAGCTTTCAGAGTGATATATATGTTTTCGAGCGATTTTGCCTAGTTCAAAAGTTATAGGTTAATTTTTAAT